TGTGTGTGTGTGTGTGTGTGTGTGTGTGTGTGTGTGTGTGTGTGTGTGTTATTGATCAAATTAAAGCTGTGTTGTCAGGCTGACATCCAGGACCACACACACACCAGTGAACCACATGTCGCACACTTCCCCCACATCGCGTTAGCAGACAGTGAGTGACAGTTTCAGGGCTAAATGAGTGAAGACAGCCATTCTTCTGTCCTGACACGACCTTTAAGGCACTGTTAAATGGACAAGCATTTAACCCCCCGCAGAACATTTACAAGTCAAACAGGCTGCACACGTTGGCCACATCTACTTCTGACAAGATAAAAAAAACAAAAAACACGGCACTGAACTGGAAATGATCATCCAGCCATGTGATCCACTAAAGTGCTTTTATCCATGACTCTGCCTCTAAACCGATACATAAACTATCATCATTCCCTTAGAATAACGGCGCATTCAAATGGCAGCTTAACCTAAAATACATAAAATGCCTACCAATTTGAGACGCACCTCAACGGTAAGTCGACCTCGACGTTGCCCCGGTCTCTCCAGCAGCCCATTAGGCTCGTACTCGTGCTAAATTGGACGGCGCCTCTGGCTAACCTGGCTAATTTAACTTGATAAAACGGTTCCATAGCTGCCATTTGGGATGAATTTAAATGGAACCGTCAGCTCTGCCTAATACCGTGTTGTTGATTTAAACATGTCCCGTTAACCCCCAAACCCGTAATAAATCAGTAAACTCAGCAGTAAAAACAGGAAGTCTTCGTAAGGTAGCTGGGAGTGCTCACGACTCTCTCATTCTCAGTATGTAGCAGCTCCAGTCTGTGCTGTGAGCCAGTGTCTTCACCTGCCATGCTCAGAGGGGAAAATGAAGTCAAGAAGTTAAAAAAAAAAAGTCCATTATTCCTGCAGCACATCCCCAAGGGCTCTCCGTTTTTTAAAGCCAGCAGATGAAAACCTGCCTTTTATGTTAATTCTGCAGATACGCCTTTTTACGGCGGGGGGCTCTTAAATGTATTTTTTGAGAAATGTAATTTCACCTCAGGATCTGAACTTATTATATTTTCGGCGGCGGTCTCGACAAATGCGGAGTTCAACAGGAAAACTTTTCTGACCCGACGCAAAGTTGTGAGGAGATGTTTATTCATCAGACTCTCAGCTGTAGCCTTTAATTCCATTTCAGAGCCGTTCTTATTTATAGCCGCAGAGTGCAGAACATCAAGGATGTCTTTATTCACGACTTTTTGACTGGAACGCTATCAGAGATGGTTTTCATTCCGTTTCATGTCTTGAATCAGGCGCCAACAAGATAAATAATCAACGTTAACTTCATGTAAAACACAGATTCAATGGTCTGCAGCTCCCTCTCCTCCTGCCTCCAGCCCCTCCCTTGTACTGTGCCTGCTCATTGTCAAGGTAACCATCTGTTTCCACGGCGCCAGCTAGAGATGGGGTCTCCCTCGAATGGGAACAGGGGTCCAAGGACCGACGTCTAGCAGACGGTAGCCTGACCGAACCAGACGCCGTGTCCTGTTCTGGTTCCCTCAAGGGTCCCCACTGTCACACGGGGCTGTCACTCAATCCGACGCGCACACACACACACACACACAGGAGGAGTGATCTGCCAGCTGGTGTGTGTGTGCGAGATGCTTGACAGCTTGTTTGTACATGTGCATGTGTTTGTATTGTCTGTCTTCCAAGTCTCACTGATGTGCGTGTAAGTGTGTAACGACTCGCCGTTAACCTGAAAGTCCCGGTTTGTACCGGAAGTTAGAGCATCTTCAGCTCCCGCGCCGTGACGTATTCCCTCGTGAAGCGGAATATTTGAGCGGCGTACGCGCACAGGAGGGATTTAAATCCCAAAAAAAACTGGGCGGCAGAGCTGCGGAGGACTGTGGCTCCGCCCACACGCACCTCTGTCATCGCTAAAAGTTTCAGATTGATGGATGGAAGTCATGATGTCATTGGTTGGCACTAGCTCACATGAGCAGACTTAATATTTTGTTTCATAGGAAGAAAAGATAATTGGATTTCCATGTAAATATATTAAGTAATTGATTTTTTTGTCATTTGTTTGTATTCATTGTTTAATTGGTGCACAATATGACATTTTGTCCTTTCAGCTCCACTTGAACCACTGCGCCTCCCTCTTCATCTTTCTTACATGTTTGCTAAAGTAGTTCACATGCAGTTCAGTGGCCATGGTGGCAGTAACGGCTGCTTTTTTGCATTTATGCAATAAGAATGGCATAAAGGAAAGCGTGTGCAGCCTTCTGCTGGGTGAAAACATCGTTAGCAGAGGGACAAGTGGTGCTGATCGCATCAGGGGTCATGAAAGGCACGGCAAGGTTTCTTTATGCTCCACAACTCATCCACCAAGGCAGTCTCAAAGTGCAGGTTAATCTCTCTGCAACTCTCACTTCCTTGTACTTCCTTGCAGATATAACAAGAAAGCTTTTACATTTGATCTTCTGAGTAGTCGGCATTGGTTCGCTCTCGGGTAAACAGGCCACTTCACGGCGTAAATATTTTCTTGTCTTTAGAAAATGATGTCTCGCATTTAATTGTCCAAGAGACACTTGAGCTGAGGTCGGGGTTTTGCATTCGCATGAGGCAGGTTTTACTGCCTTCAGCACTGACCTGACTTCTTAAATGTCACATAAATGAGAAACACGGTTTCTGTAATTGGGGAGGGGAATTGGAGAAACCCGGTGACCGGCTTTTTACATCTGCCCCTCACCTCATCTTATTTAGTTTTTGTTGTTTTTCCCGTCCACGTCAGTAGTCCGGGCCTTTCTTGTGAATGTGAAATCTTTGTGAACGCCCGGAGGGAGTTTCTTCAAAGGTGGAACAAACGTCCGCGTTGGATTCGAGGATGAACTGATTCGATTTTGGTGGTCAAAGGTTGACCTCGCAAAACATCAAAACAAAAACCTACAGATTCCATATGCTTATTATAACAACAGACTGTTTTTTCATGTCTCATTAATGTCCCCCTCAGAATAAATTGTAGCCTCTCAGTGTTGTTGACACTCTGTGCTGTAGACACACCCCCGTACCTTTATACGTCTGCTGTGTCTCAAACGTATGGACTAGCTCCCCTCCTGTGCTGCCATTACACATTCCAGTTCAGCGACCCTGGAACTGGACACAAATGCGCACTAAAGCAACAGAATGAAATCTGGCTGCTCCTCCTGTAGCTCTGAACAACTGTAATTGTCCACACCTTTGTCTACACCTTATCACAACCTGTCATCTCTCTCACACAATCACTTTCAGCTTCTCTTTCTCACACACACACACAGACGTACCAGAGGATGACGGATCATTGCCCTGTCCTTCAGTTTATTGTCTGCCCTTTATCTTGACCTGTCATCTCTCTCTCTCCTCACGTCTCTCTCTCTCTCTCTCTCACACTCCCTCACAGCGTTGTTGTGTTGATTCCGTCCAACTTGCTGATAGACATCCTGTGCCACAATAGGAAGGCAATCTTAGTCTGGCATGGAGCCATTGTTGTCTCTAATAGAATGGACTGAGAGGTGAAGAGCTATTGATTCAGCGGACTGAGAGAGAGAGCGCGACAGAGCGAGTGGACAAAAGGAGGAGAGAACGAGAGGCTGTTGACACCTGGCCGAGAAAGCGAGACGGTGAATTCATGTCCGTGACGCGTGAAACGAGGGCGAGCTCGACTCAGTCGCCCGGTCAGATGTGGCGGCCGGACAGATGTTCGGGAGAAGAGGAGAACGTATGAATAATGAAGGCGTACGAGTTGATTTCCTCCTGTTGCCTCAGCTGATCAAAGATCCGACATATTGGATTTGAGAGGAAGTGAGTGAGGACGGGCGTAAGCGGGGAGAAAATGGGACAAAGGAGGAGAGAGAGTGAAAAGGTGGAGAGAGGAAATAGGAGAAGCAGATAAGACAGAAAGGGAAAAGGAATAAATGTGAATGCAGAAGAAGAAGAAGGAAAATGAGAGTTAAGGCTCACTTCCTTTTAGCGTCTTAACCTTGTCACAAATGTGTCTAAAGTAAAAAAAAAGAGATCTAACTAAACAACAATCAGTCACCAAAATAAAATGCAGTGCAGCATGGAAGAAAATGAAACGCCAGGGAACAAAACAAAGCAGAGGACACATAATAGCATGTTCACAACACTTAGTCAAGTCTAGCCTCATTAGCACCACCAAAGTGATGGAAATAGACAAAGAGACGGAGAGCAGAAGGTGGGAGAGGAGACGAGCCATTGAGGAAGGGAAGAAATGAGCGGAGGGAGGGATTCTAAATGAAGAAAGTGGAGGGGAGCAGAGCGAGATTTAGAGGGAAATGAATGGGTGTGGAAAGACAGAAAATATGCACATTCACAGAAGAAAGAGGAGAGGAAAAGAAAGGAAGAAGAGAGAGAGTGAGAGATGAACGAAAGTAAGAACCTTAAAGCACCGACAAACATGAGTCTGGAAAACCTCCTGACCCTCAAATGCATTACTGTCTTTTCCTTTTTTTGTTGTGATTCTGTGGAGAAAGGAAATGTACAAATCCTTTTCCACGAAAAGTAGATGTGGATGAAGATACAGAAGCTAAAAGAAGAAACCGGCTGTATCGAATCACCAATGTATAAAAATAATGATGAGTCATACCTTTTAAAAACATTTGTGTTCCGTACGAGCGGCGCTTTTACAAGTTGATAGACGCAAAGAGAGCTGCCAGACAGAGAATATGAATTAAAGAAAGTGCGAGGCACACGTATAATAAAACAGAGAGGGAGAATAAGTGTGAGAATACGACGGATTCAAAAGCAATAAAGACGCTGACGGGGAGGAAAAAGAAGAGAATGTGAGCAGAGGTATAGAGACCATTTGAATTGTAGGGAGGGAGGGAGAGAGATGATTAATGCCAGCAGCTTCAATAATGCAAATGTAATTACTTGTACTGGGCCTCACACTCGCTTAGCTCCTAACCACATGAACACGGGGTGGTGGGAAAAGAAGGGAGACAAGAAAGACGATGTATACATATAGGATTAACAACAACAAGAAGGATGATGGGAGTTGGAGTAGGATTAGTGTGTTTGAAAATGATTGCCCAAAAAGGATTGTTGAGGCCAATCAATATTGGCCTCAACAATCCTTTTTGGGCAATCATTTTCAAATCCATACTTGGTAATAAAAGAAAAAAAAAAACTAAAAATCTGATTTTAGCCTCAGCTAGGAAGGGATGACAAAAAGTGATGCTATAGATGGAGTAATAATACAAAAAGAGAGAATGCGGTTTCTACCCCGCCAGCCTCTGATGGACTCAGGAGGACACGTGGGCCTTGGTTCTGCTGAGCCTGAAGGACAACTGGAGCTGTTTAGTGCTAAATGACCACCACCCCCCCCCCTCTCTCTCTCTCTCTTTCTTTCTCATTTTCTCTCTCCATCTGTTGGATAGTTTGCCACATCAGCTGTTCCCCAGCCACACTGAAATGACCCCTCAAGGAAACGTAATCCCTGTGTGTGTGTGTGTGTGTGTGTGTGTGTGTGTGTGTGTGTGTGTGTGTGTGTGTGTGTGTGTGTGTGTGTGTGTGTGTGTGTGTGTGTGTGTGTGTGTGTCTTTCTCACACACACACACGATACTTACGTGCATGTTCTCACATGTATTCTGCAAGTTCAGCCCACATACGCCGCCCCCATCTTCATCGTGCGCTCCAGGTTCAGTTATTGTCTCCGTATTCCCAATATAGTCCCAAAATAATTCTGTTGAGTCATGTTCTGTGCTGAAATGTCAACATGTATGTTGACCACAGCGCCACTCATCACTCAGTCGCCTCTTCTTGCTTTCGAAGCCAAAGGAGTAAAGTTTTCCGTCTCGGTCGGCGGTGCGGAGCCTCCTCTGGTCTTGCACGTTTTCAATATGCCCGCTCCACACAACGTCAGAGGCTGATGCCTTTTTATTTGTTGTGCGAAAGCTCAGAACATCGTGAAATATTCATTCTCTTTGTGAGAGTATTCATGAGGAAAACAACAGTTCAAAGAAACAAATTGACTTGCATAATAATACACACACAAAAAAGAATGTCCCCGGTGTGTGAAAGCCTTCATAGTCACAGTGTTAATAAATACGTAATATAATATCTAATCATGATATCTTATATCTTCTGTGCACACAATGGAGGGAGTTATTACGAGCACTCTTTATCCACCAGCTGGTCTCATGCCGTCCACATGAGGCACACCAACCACTTGAAGGGGACAATAGTGAAATGAAGGGCTTCAGCTCTTTGGGATATTTTACGATTCCTCCACTTCAGACCAACAATCTGAGGTCGGGACCCATTCACGGCTCGCCCTGCTCTGTTCTTCAGCCACAATCACAGCCAGCCATCTCCTTTTGTCTTCAAGGCCACCGCGCTGTCATGCCGGTGTTCGTTAGGTGGCCTATTTTCTCTGTTTGCTGTTTTTAAAAGGCGCCTCCGGGCTTTTGTGCGAGGTGTGAAATGAGCCCTGGCAAACACTTCAAACCTTTTAAACGGCTCCTGCACTCTTCTGAAAATGAGTCTCCCCCCCCCCCCCCTTCAAAGTAAAAATGGGAGATCTCGAACCATCGGCTGCAAAAACATCAAATGGGAAACTAATCCGTGTCAGCCACAGATTATCTGAGAAGTTATGGAGGAATGTGACAAATATTCCTGTCATACAAATTTCTACTTGATGTCATTAGCTCTTGTTTTTAATGCTTGCTCTTGCACCTTTTTGTTTATCTGGTCATTTCAGGCTGTAGTGGGACCTTCGTCCTCCTTGTTGTTGCTCATACTGATTTAACTCCTGCATTCATTCACTTTGGGAATCAGCTAAAATGCTTCAAAGTCTGAACATTAGATATTACACAGACCCACCGTTGTTAAATGGAGCCTCTGTCCATATTGACTCGGTCTGGTTTTTCTTCTCCTCAGGACAACTACACCTTTGCCCAGCCAGGCATCCAGAGGAAAGTCAAGGCCCTGGAGGAGCTCGTCAGCAGGATTGACGGTGAGTGATCTGCTTTCTGTCCGTCTGTCCATCCAACCACTCACCCACCCATCCGCCAGTCAATCAAATCATCCTTTTTCCTTGTGTCAGTTGTATTTTCAGTGTTCGGGCACACTTGTTTTTAAAGGTCGTAGTTATGTTTCCTCTGCCAGGCAACAGTCGGAGTCTTTGGTCTGCACCCACAGCGCGGTGATGCAGAGCCGGATGAAAATCTGCAACGTTTCCCTTTAATGAGGAGACAGTTTTCTTAACACTCTCAACTTTCTGTGATCGTTTGAGTTCACGTGTCAGAACTAGGTAACACAACAGGAAGCAACGTTCAGTTTTCACCTCTTGATTCTTCTGTGACACCGCCATTACCGATTGTCATTCCACTCGGCTGTCGGGGGGGGGGGGGGGGGGGGGGG